CCGGATTCTCGGCCGAAGCTCTGGCCGACCGTATAATAGACGCCAATTGTGTAGTATTAGTGACTTCTGACGGCGCCTTTCGGGCCAACAAATTCATACCATTGAAATCAATCGCCGACTCAGCACTTGATATATGCACACAAATGTAAAAACATTATAAAAAACATTAATATTATATAAAAATTATTTTTAAATACAGGAACCACAAAGTAAAAGCATGTATTGTGAGCCCATACTTAAATCTCAATAGGATTAACATAATTGATGTCAACAACAATAATAATACAGATTATAATTCAGTGATTAATTGGGACCCAAATGTGGACATCCTATGGACTGATGTCATGACTAATGTTTGCGATTATTGCGAACCCGAATGGATGGAGGCTGAAGACCCACTCTTCGTACTTTATACCAGGTTTGTTAAGTTATTATATTTTTTGTAAAATTATTATAAATAGTTAAAAATAAAATTAAATAAAATTCATCGTATAAATAAAGACTTAAGTAAAATATCCTCGTTTATAAATGAAATATTCTTCTAGTTATTGTTATAACATTTAAATAACTAAATTTTGATTAAAAGTATGTATGAACTTTGCAATTTCTTAAGTAATAACAAGGTTTATATTATTTCATAACAATTTACAATATCACAAAAATACGTGTGATTTCTAGTATTAACATAAAGTAAAACAATTGAAATAACACAATAATTAATGCAAAACACAATTTACCACATGTTTTAGTGGAAGTACGGGAAAGCCTAAAGGGATTGTCCACACAATCGGCGGTTATCTCCTCTACTCTTACCTAACATTCAAAACAGTATTCAATTACACCGACGGAGACGTGTTTTTCTCGACCGCAGACTTGGGATGGATTACTGGCCACACGTTCAGCGTTTACGGAGCGCTGGCCAACGGGTGTTCAATAGTGTTGTTTGAAGGCATACCCACTCACCCAAACCCGGGCCATCTCTGGCACATAATAGACAAATGGAGAGTCAATATCTTCAACACTGCGCCCACTCTTATCCGATCACTCATGAAGTTTGGCGACCAATACGTCAAACAACACAACAGAAACACATTGAAAGTGTTGGGAACGGCCGGCGAACCCATCAATCCCGAGGCCTGGCTCTGGTTCTGGGATGTGGTCGGCGATCGTCGGTGTCCTGTCGTCGACAACTACTGGCAAACAGAGACTGTATGTCATATATATTTCGTATAAATACTTATATTATGTAAATAGACATTATATCTAAAGACTCGATAGACTTTACACATGATATGCAAACATTAAAACTTTATTTAACTATAGAGCGGACCAATGATCACATCCATACCGGGGGCCACACCTATGAAGCCCGGATCGGCTACCCTTCCTTTTTTCGGTGTTATACCGGCGATACTGGACTCCGAGGGCAGAGAACTGGAGGGCCCGGCTGTGGGACAGTTGGTGTTTAAGAAGCCGTGGCCGGGTATCGCCCGTACCATTGATGGCAAACACGATAGGTATC